ATTAGGTACACCTGTCCAACTGCTCGTTAACACTTAATTTCTAAGCAGCCAATCACATGGCGGCGACTCAGTGCATTTAGGCATGTAGACATGGTCAAGACAATCTCCTGCAGTTCAAACCGAGCATCAGTATGGGGAAGAAAGGTGATTTGAGTGACTTTGAACGTGGCATGATTGTTGGTGCCAGAAGGGCTGGTCTGAGTATTTCAGAAACTGCTGATCTACTGGGATTTTCACGCACAACCATCTCTAGGGTTTACAGAGAATGGACCGAAAAAGAAAAAACATCCAGTGAGCGGCAGTTCTGTGGGTGGAAATGCCTTGTTGATGCCTGAGGTCAGAGGAGAATGGCCAGACTGGTTCGAGCTGATAGAAGGGCAACAGTGACTCAAATAACCACCCGTTACAACCAAGGTGGGCAGAAGAGCATCTCTGAACGCACAGTACGTCGAACTTTGAGGCAGATGGGCTACAGCAGCAGAAGACCACACCGGGTGCCACTCCTTTCAGCTAAGAACAGGAAACTGAGGCTACAATTTGCACAAGCTCATTGAAATTGGACAATAGAAGATTGGAAAAACGTTGCCTGGTCTGATGAGTCTTGATTTCTGCTGCGACATTCGGATGGTAGGGTCAGAATTTGGCGTCTACAACATGAAAGCATGGATCCATCCTGCCTTGTATCAACGGTTCAGGCTGGTGGTGGTGGTGTCATGGCGTGGGGAATATTTTCTTGGCACTCTTTGGGCCCCTTGGTACCAATTGAGCATCGTTGCAACGCCACAGCCTACCTGAGTATTGTTGCTGACCATGTCCATCCCTTTATGACCACAATGTACCCAACTTCTGATGGCTACTTTCAGCAGGATAATGCGCCATGTCATAAAGCTGGAATCATCTCAGACTGGTTTCTTGAACATGACAATGAGTTCACTGTACTCAAATGGCCTCCACAGTCACCAGATCTCAATCCAATAGAGCATCTTTGGGATGTGGTGGAACGGGAGATTCGCATCATGGATGTGCAGCCGACAAATCTGCGGCAACTGTGTGATGCCATCATGTCAATATGGACCAAACTCCCTGAGGAATGCTTCCAGCACCTTGTTGAATCTAAGCCACGAAGAATTGAGGCAGTTCTGAAGGCAAAAGGGGGTCCAACCCGTTACTAGCATGGGGTACCTAATAAAGTGGCCGGTGAGTGTATACTGTATATGGATGCACATGCGCAAATGAGCTGATTGTATGGATCGTGCTTCAGAGACGGATCATAGTACTGCAGAATAACAGCATAGTTATACATATTCATATATTCATATATATATATATATATATATATATTGCAGAGCTACTATCCTGCACCTTTTTGGTGTGCCCCATTTGTAACACACCTGAATCTAATGAGCGGTTCGTTACCATGCCTGCTGAGCCAAATGAGGGGATTCAGCCTTTAGATTCAGGTGTGTTAGGGAAGTGATACATCTAAAAGTTACAGGATGTTAGCTCTTGAGGCCTGGACTTGAGCACCCCTGCTCTAGTGTCAGCTCTTTGGTCCTGGCCATGTTAGAAGTTGGATTCTTACTGATTCTATGGTGTGGACAGGTGTCTTTATGCAGCTAACAACCTCAATCAGGTACATCTAATTTAGGATAATAAATGGAGTTGAGGTGGACATTTTGAAGGCAGACAAACAGGTCTTTGAGGGTCAGAATTTTAGCTGATAGACAGGTGTTCAAGTACTTATTTTCAGCTGTATCACCCAAATAAATAGTTAAAACATCATATCATTGTTATTTCTGGATTTCGTTTTTAGATTATGTCTCTCACAGTGGACATAGACCTACGATGACAATTTCAGACCCCTCCATGGTTTCTAAGTGGGAGAACTTGCAAAACAGCAGGATATTCAAGTACCTTTGTTTCTTCACTGTAAATTATAAAGATTATTGTTAGAATCCACAATCACTGCAGCAGATATGAATGGTCTGTAGTTCCTTTAACTAGTTTAAAAGGCAAAATTCTTAGTTTAACCTAAAGTATAAAATGGCCCCACAGTATAATAATTATAGAGTGAAGGTATTGTAAAAGGAAGAAGCTACAAATGGATGCACACAGAGAAGACTCATGAGAGTTCAGGCCACCACTAATTAAACCTTGGATATAAGCCTTGGTGTGAAGCGTGCATTAAGCTGCAGGAGAAGAATGTTTAATGAGCAGGCCACTGGTTTGCATAGAACATCTTGCATATTTCCAGATGACTGCTGAGTGGTTATATGCTAAATTATGCTGCAGAGATTTTATACAATGTCGGAACAAACCATCTGTTGCAATCACCTCCCGTAAAAAGCTCAGAAAGAAACAGCAATGAAATAACATAGCTTCCACATATAAAAAGAATAAATTTTTCTCTTTGAGGTCGTCACTATAAGGAGGTTTAGAATGGAGGCTACCTATGTTTCAGTTTGATCACCCAGTATGTTCAATATTTATCAACAGCTAATGAAAGAGCAGATTTTGAACAGAAACTTAACCATAGCTTTCCAGACTGAAACAGAACTGTAGTTTCTCTTATATTCATCATACACTATGAGCTAATGCCTCAATTAATTATTTAAACAAAGCAAACAAAAGATTCTAACATCAGTTTGCATTAAATGACTGATTAATGCATAAGAGGGGGACGAGGCTTTTATAATCAATTCAAGTCTGTGTAGTCTGGAAATGGTTTATTAGACTTCGCAGAATATATATCTATGAAAGAAACACTTGATTTTTCCTAATAAAAAGTTAATTTATGCAATGTCTCCTTATTTAACAGTTATTTAGAGTTTTTTTAATCTGAACACTTTTTCCTTGTTGTTAGAAATCAAATTGAGAGGAATAAAAGAAGAAAATGAAGGTATCAGAACATCCATCCTTCCATTTTCCATCACGCTTATCCCAAGTGGGGTCACAAGGGCTGCTGGTGCCTATCTCCAGCTGTCTACGGGTGAGAGGCGGGGTACACCGTAGACAGGTCACCAGTCCATCGCAGGGCAACACAGAGACAAACAGAACAAACAATCATTCACACACACGTAAGGAGATTCTAGAGAAGCCAATTAACCCAACAGTCATGTTTTTGGACTGTGGGAGGATGCCGGAGTACCTGGAGAGAAGGTATCAGAACAGATCGTTGATAATTTAACAGTTAAGATTTTTAAAACAAATAAAAAAATTAAATTAGAACAAAGAAACACTAACAATTTGTTTAAAAGAAGATGTTATACAGACTTATAGGATCATTAGTTTCAAGTCAAACCTGCAACTGTCAAACCTCCACATCTGACTCAGGTAGAGTGAACACAGTTTTATATCTCTGTGTGGATTACTGCATTCCCTTGCGTTATCAAACACAGAGTCAGTGTGGCGTATGCACTTGCAGATGCTTTGAGTACAGGCTGCTGGATGTGCATCATTGCACACATGGGTGAGTCTTTGTCTTTGTCTCTGCATCCTGCTGTCTCTGTTCACATAAAAATAAAAGAACGCTCACACAGATATTCACAGATGGAGCAGCAGCAGTCCTAATGCAGCCCTCTGCTCTATTTTCGGTCTGTTTTATGTCAACACATGCTCCTCTTTGCTCTTATCTTCACCTGCCTCTCACTTTGCTTTAACAAGCTGTCACCCCAGTCACTGTTCAGACGTTCGTTATCTCCCTCCACAAAGAAGCCTGTATTCAGACAGCTTCCTTCCCCTTTTTTCCCCAGTCTCTGCAGTGATTTTCCCTTAACTTTGCACTTTCAGAGTTGCAGAATTTGTCTTTCATTCAGAGCACCAGCTTGGATGTTAATAAAACGCATCACTGAAGTTTCACATGATCTTTCCTTAGAATACCCGATCCCTGGTGAACACCTTTCTCCGAGGGTTTTCTAAACCATTTTTCTTGTCCCTGTTGTTCTCAGAAGCAGAAGTTTTAAAAGTGATTAGCTCCTCCCCCCAGGAGGGCCACGCGTACATCCTTTTCAAGTGTCGGGGAGCCCCCATGATGCGCAGGCATTCCTAACTCATTAAAAAGAGCTGACTATGCAGCCCTAAAGCCCCAGTCCTCCTCCGCAGTGCCCAAGCTGGAGCCACTCCAGAATATAACAGTGCAGCACATCAGTCTCTCAGAGGCCTTAAGAAGCAGCTGCACCACTCTGTAGCTCTGCCGATCTCTGGACGCAGCTTTCTACTGCTGCAGCAGTGCTCTAATAATGCTCCAGGGGAGGTCCTGACAGTTTCAGTAGATCTTCTATTATTGGCTCAGCCTTTGCTTAAGCAAAGGACAATGATAGCTTGATGATGCAACTTTGTTAATAAATGGAAAGACTTTGAAGAGATTATTTACCATGTGGTGGAGAATACAAGGGTCCACAAGTGTTAAACTGGAGCACATTTACCTCTCAGATTATTTCTCTTCAGCTTGTTAAATTTGAAATCAGATGATAATGAAACGTATCATCAATTCTGCTTCATTCAAGTCATTTCAGCCAAGCGAGACTGGGCAGAACACCATAAGTGATGCCAGGGCACCATAAAGACAATCAGATTTATTCAAATCATTCCAGTTAAGTTTAGCTGTTTTAAAGGAAATGATATGCAAAAATAGTTCAGATACTTTCCATTAATCTAAGTCAATTAAATATAGTTCAGCTGAATTCAGCTTAATCTATTTCAGTGACTTTTACTCAGTTTCTATAGAACCAGCTGTCTGGAGATAGGCACCAGAACCCCTTGTGACCCCACTTGGGATAAGCCTATTGTTTAGTTTAATTTATTTTGTGGATCTTAAAACCCCATACTGGTTGATGGAAGACCCCAACTCTGCGAGTCAATGCTTTAAATGAATTGGACTTTTCAGCATCAGGACATTTCCCCCTTACATCGGTGTTTCTGCTCCTCATTAACCAATGTCCTCTTTTCATCTCATCCCTCTCCCCTACCTGCCTGTTCCCTCTTCTTTTGTGTCTCTGCAGGATCCTGCTGACAGTGGTGGTGATCTTTCGTATCTTAATAGTTGGGATAGTTGGCGAGAAGGTGTATGAAGACGAACAGATCATGTTCATCTGTAACACTATGCAGCCCGGCTGTAACCAGGCGTGTTACGACAAGGCGTTCCCCATCTCGCACATCCGCTATTGGGTGTTCCAGATCATCCTGGTGTGCACGCCCAGCCTTTGCTTCATCACCTATTCTGTCCACCAGTCTGCCAAAGCACGTGATCGAAGCTATTCTTTGCTCCATTCCCACATGGACCACCATGGGCATGGCCACCACGGCCGCCACCACGACCATCATGTTCGCAAACTTCATTCCCGCAACATCAATGGCATCCTGGTGCACCCTGAAAGCAAGGATGACCATGATATGGATGTCAAGGAGATCCCAAACGGACCCCGCGGGGCTATCCCAACACACAAAAGTGCAAAAGTACGGCGGCAGGAGGGCATCTCCCGTTTCTACGTCATCCAGGTGGTGTTCCGGAACGCGCTGGAAATTGGCTTCTTGGCCGGCCAGTACTTCCTGTACGGCTTTAACGTCCCAGGGATGTTCGAGTGTGACCGTTACCCATGTGTGAAGGAGGTGGAGTGCTACGTGTCTCGTCCGACAGAAAAAACTGTATTCTTGGTCTTTATGTTTGCCGTAAGCGGCATATGCGTTCTGCTCAACCTGGCCGAGCTCAACCACCTGGGATGGAGGAAGATAAAGTCAGCCATGCAGGGCGTGCAGGCCCGGAGGAAGTCTATCTGTGAAGTACGAAAGAAGGATGTCTCACACCTGTCCCAGGCCCCAAACCTGGGCAGGACGCAGTCCAGCGAGTCAGCATATGTCTGACAGAGGCTTCCCCGCCCGGGAGCTCGAGGACCTTTAACACTTTGGGCCAGAGCGTTTCCCTGGCCTGGCCACTGAATCCTCACCATCACCATTAAGAGCACAGACTCTGTGTAGTCACAACAAAAAAAAGTCACCAAGCTGAGTTTTGTGGACACTTGAAGAGAAAAGAATCACTTTCTTTATAACGAGAGACCAAAAACTTCTTCTCCATCTCTCTCGGTGACACCAGGTGCTTACAGAGAACCGAGTACTGAAACATTTACAAATAACACTAAGAGGTTCAAAAAAATCAATTGTTCTTTAATAGTTGCCTTTGCTGTGGATCAGAGAAAAGATTATATCATTTTCCATATATGTGTGCATATGCAATAGCTTCAGCGAGAGCATGCATGCATATGCATGAGTGGGTGTGTTAGGGAAACTGAATGCTAAATTATTCTGAATTACGAAAGTAAGATAGAATAGTCACTTGATGGATAAATAAGCACTTTTAAAAAAAAACAAAACAACATAATCTATTAGCACTAGAACGATCAGCATAAACTGGAACACACCATTTATTGTTGTTGCTGCAGGGTTTTTTTGTTATTTTGTTTTATAAAGTCGCTCTTCTTTTTCTTGTGCTTTGTTGGATTAGCTGCCGAGCAAAGGACAGAGCGAAGTTGATTTTTATTTCCAACACTGTGGCGGTGTACTTTGCTGCTCCTGGTTCCTCCCAGAGCGGCAAAGAAATTCGTGCCAGTATCTTCACTTTAGCTTGTAAGATGCTCTTTATGTTAGGAGAGCAGGATGGAAATACATGCAAAACTTTCTCAGTGAAACAGGGGGGAAAAAAAGAAATAACTTTGTCACAAGTATTTTAACGTGTAACCTCAAACCTTTTTCACAAGCACATTTGGTGCCATATTTCAGAGCTACTGTACATAGATGAACTCTAGTTAAATACACTTAGCCTTTTACCCTATCATGTATGGATAGGCTCTATGTGGGAAGGCAGCAGCAGTTTGGGTGCTTCTGATAATTAACCATAGATTGCCTGCTTTAATAATATTTAGCATTGATGTGCTTTTTGTTATGCCTTCACTCTCCCTCATATGGAGACTCTATGTCCCAAGAAGTGATTTCTTTTCCCCCTCCTTGGACTTTGAAAAAGGCATGTTACAGACGCATTAATAGAATGGAATAGAATATGAAATGTAACTTAAAAAGACACAGTTTTATTTATTCGCATCCTGCTCCAATGAAATGTAATAATCAGCATGCATGAAGATGAAAAATATAAAGTGATTGAAAGAAATCCTGTTTTATGGGAAAGCATAAAATCAGACAGGCGCCTCAACTGCAGCAATAATAGACTACAATATGTGAAAAGAAATATGTGAATAAATGATTATGCAGTGATTTTTTGGGGGGTTGTTCTGTGTTTTATAGTGACTAATGGTGCTGCATGATGGGTTGGGGGAAAAAGGTCAGAGCGGGCAGTCAATTACATGAACCGGAAAAATAAAACCACACACATCAGCACAATGAACCCTGAGCATGAAAAGCAAGAATTTATTGCACCGATAAATCCCACCCTTTGGTATTAAATTATAAATAAATGTACTGTAGATCTATCATGCATTTAGGCAGAAGTAACCTACATTTATACTGTATATACAGTCCCTCGCAAAAGCAAACACGCTCCATAAACTTTTACACATTCCACCCCATCACGGCCAGAAATATAATCTATTTCAGTGTGATTTCATTTAATAAACTAATTTAAAACTGGTGTTTAAATGCAAGTGGAGGAAAAAATTATTATGTTTTTTTATGTTTATTGATAAAAGTATGAATCCTTTTAACACATCTAACGGTTGATATGTTCTTCTTTAATCTTTACAGATTAATAAGAGGTCAGTAACATTGCAAGGAGAACATCACCGTTAAAATCTCCTCACATTGTCTACAGGATATTCAGGGCTCTGTCCGAACACCCGCCCTAACCTGACTATATAGTGGACTTTATAGTGAATTCAGTTAACTGACTGTTTGGACAGGTGATCACTACTTTTTGCTCCAGTTTGTCATGTAACTTTGCCTCCCTGCACAGTGCGTGTTCCATCTTTGTTTTTTGTCACCGCTGTCACTACCTGGCAGCGCACCGGTGTCATAACAAATCCCATGATGCTTTGTGAGGCGAGCTTTTGCAAAGCAATCTGGGACCATGGATGATCACTACTTTTTAAGGTGCATTGTGAGAAATTTCAAATCCACTACTTTTTCATCTAGACATTTGGACACAGCCCATGTGTTAGGACTGCCTATTTAAGGTCTGCGATTGAGACATTATAGAATTGAGAGTATATTTAATGCTACTGACTGGCTGGTTTGGATTTAGATCAAATTTTGTATGATTTTAACAAAGAACTGTTTGTTATAGTAAACTATAAAGACTCCCTTCAACAGATAATACAGTGGAAAAAGAGTTCCCTTAAAAAGCTGAATGTTTTTTGTTTATTTTTTCATAAAATATAAAAAAAATCTATAGAAAAATAGTTTTTACAGCATTTAGTTGTATCTTAACACTATTCTCTTTGTCAGTGACCTTCAAATCTTTGAAACTGGAAGGCCTCTTTGCCAGCACCCTAATGATTAGCTCCCTCCATAGATTACCTACCAGATTAAAGGGGCTATAGTAATCAAAATTTACTTTTATTAGACTTTAAACCTTTCTAAAATTCTGTTTTGGCATCAAAAATTCCAAGCGCAATGCCCTAACCCCTAGGCCACCAATCCCCAAAAATGTTACCCAGAGGATGTGATAATCGAAAAGGTCAATGAAAATTAAAGCTGTAAAATTACTGTACAAGAATAAAGTCCTAACATCAGGATAAATGTGTAACAATATGAGATTAAAAACCTATTACGGTAGTTTAATTATAGTTTAATATCTTGAAATGTAAAGACTTTATTTTTGTAATGTTACAACTTTATGGTGGTAATGTTTCAACTTTAATTTTTTATATGTTACAGCTTTAAAGTCGTAATGTTATTATTTTATTATGGTAATGTTACCACTTTATTCTCTAGAATAAACATTACAAAAACACAGTCGTTACATTTCAAGATATTAAACTATAATCAAACTTGTAATATTGCCAGAATTAAGCCGTAACATTATGAACGTTAAGGTTTTAATATCACAACAGTCATGCTGTATTAAGAAGTAGTTGTCTTCCCCATGTGTTAAAATACTCAGCTCAGGCTTCAACTTATTAAAGCAATGTTTTCACACTAGCATAGCATCATTACTCTGTTTTTTTTAAACTCTAAGAACGTATTCGTTGGAAAAACAACCAATCTAGTTGGTTAAACCTATTTCGGTTAGATTAAACAATATATTGGTCAGAAACTGAACACGCCATTGGTTTTGGAACCACCAATTTACTTGGTTAACCTAACAACCAAAAAAAATAGTACCGTAACTGATGGTTCACTAATCTGACTGTTTGGCTGTAGTCAAGTGTAGTGTGTAATAGTTACGGACCTAGAGAACAACTACAAATATGTGTTCATGTCCAGCATGCAAATCTTGGCATTAACCTTGGTTATAAACTAGTATTAAATTCCAATATGTCAATAGTGACAGTTTGCCTTGCAGCAATAAGGTTGGAGATTCAAGACCTTGCTCTGGCTTTGAATGTTGTAATTGACCATTATATTGGTCAAAGTGACCAATTTGTATTGGTTTGCCCTTTTAACAATAAAGATTGGTTAAAATACGACCAAATTAGATTTGTTGTTTTAACAAAAGATTGGTTGGACACATAACTTCAAAATTCAACCACTTATTGGTTAAATTGACCAATCTAAGGGTGCCTTATGATGACTTTATTGTAACAATATGAGGACTTTATTTTCAGTATACTCCGTCATAGGAAAGCATTTGAAATGGTTACAATTTCTATACGCGAGTTTCAAACCAAGGTATAAGAAGCTTTTCTTTAAATACTCGATTCAAGACAGCTTTGAGAACCTTGACCAGAACCAAAGTGGATTCACCAAATGCTCAGTTCTTAAACAAGTAAAGCAATTGCATCCATGAAGACATCTGATGAACAAGTGACACCGGTAAGTAAATCACATTCTATGCTTCTTCAACGTTTTCCAGGCCAAGGACCCCCAAACTGATGGCGAGATGGAGCAGGGACCGCCTAATTATATATATATATTGCAGGAAATTGTGTTATATCAAACTGGTCCTACAGTAACTCTATTACATATGGAGAAATGCAACAAAGGTAATTTCTCCCTGGGATTATTAAAGTATTTTTTGATTCTGATTCCTGGTTGATGGGACAGGTGTTGTGAATGAAATGGTGCCCAGATTGAAAGAGCTCCTGTGTATCGCTGAATGTTTGCATTAATGACTGAAAGACATCTTCTGCCTCCATTTATCTGTTTACTACAGTGTGTTGAATTCATGTTAATGTGCATTTAAAGACATTTCCATTAGTGGAAAAAATGGCAGAAGGGAATATAAAAAAAAGGTTTAGGTTACAGCTATCCTATACCTGTTTCACCTCTTTTCTCTGGTTCATTTGTCATTTATGTTGAAGACTATCTCAAATATAAAATTTTTTTTAGAATTTTAAATGATGTTATAGTGTTAATTCATTTTTCCAAAAAGAGAGAAAAACTTTTTAAGATTAGATATTTTACGCATCAAATCTTGATATTATTTATTTGACTTTTTAAAGAACTAAAACATCTAGAGTCTATTTTTCTGTTCTTACTATTTAACTATGGAACAACAATGACACATTTTGTTTTATATCATTTCCACTCTTTGGTCAGATACTCAGAAACACAGATCTGCATTGATGACTGAAAGACATCTTCTGCCTCCATTTATCTGTTTAATACAGTGTGTTGAATTCATGTTAATGAGTATTTAAAGACATTTCAATTAGTGGAAAAAATGGCAGGGGGGAATATAACCAAAAGGTTTAGGTTACAGCTACCCTATACCTATTTGACCTCTTTTCTCTGGTTAATTTGTCATTTATGTTGAAGACTATCTCAAATATAAATCATGTTTTTAGAATTTTAAACAATGTTATAGTGTTAATTCATTTTTCCAAAAAGAGAGAAAAACTTTTTAAGATTAGATATTTTATGCATCAAATCTTGATATTATTTATTTGACTTTTTAAAGAACTAAAACATCTAGAGTCTATTTTTCTGTTCTTACTATTTAACTTATTGGAACAACAATGACATTTTTTTTTATATCATTTCCACTCTTTTGTCAGATATTTGAATTATTTTTACTCAGAAACACAGATCTGCATTGATGACTGTAAGACATCTTCTACCTCCATTTATCTGTTTACTACAGTCTGTTGAATTCATGTTAATGTGTATTTAGAGACATTTCAATTAGTGGAAAAAACTGCAAGAGGGAATATAAAAAAATAAATTAATTAATCAACCAAAACTTTCGCAGCCCCCATGCAGTACCTCAACCGACCCCATAGGGCTTGCGGACCCCCTGTTGAAGACCTCTGTTCTATGCTGTTCAAGCGTGTGATATTGTGCTAGTTGAATGCGTGTAGAATAACAATACTGTATCATCTTGTTTTTTTTTTTGTGGAGAGCATATGAATTTTATGCTGCTCATAGATCCTTGTTTAGTGCTCACAATGAAGTATGAGTTTGATGCAAACAACTTTGAAAGTCAGGCTGTTCTGTTGTGTGAAATGCAATATTTCATTGTATAGGTGCCTCAAGTTGAGGTAAAATGACATAAAAATAGCAGGATATATATATATATAACCTTTAAAGTCTGGCCACTTCAAAATGTTACTATTTGTTAGGATCAGAAAAAGCAAGTTGGTTAAATCAATGATTATACTAGAGTGATGAATCATTACGAACATTTGTGTCAATACCAACCAACAAGTTGAACTACCTTTATGTATTTGAAGGATCCATTTTTATGATAGATTTTACAGCGTTTGAATAATATGTGTAGAGCCTAGGATGTTATTTTATTCCTTTATCCTTCTTTAAATGTCTCAAAATCATCCTTGATTATAATGAGGCAGGTACCACAAAGGCAGAAAACTGGGTTAGCGAGATAACTTCAGGTTTAACCCTGACTATCCGGTGCCACCAAGCCGGATTCACTTTTTGCAAGGCTAGTCATTATGGTAAAGTACTCTGAACAGCTAACCTGCTCCAGGCTAGCTTTCAGGATTGATCTGAATCTTAGAAAACACTCTACAAGGCAGCCAATCAGATGTAAGGAAACAATGACGTGTCCTTTAATTGAAGGCTCGTTTTAATTCAGAGCAAACATAACTTAAATAATTCAACATCACAATAAAAGAACTTGAAAACCAAAAACTGTTAAAACATATGTTCTTGACAAATTGAATAATTAAATTTATTCATTTATTTTTATTGTTCTTCCATTTTGACATATTCTACCAACATTTTACTGTTCTGTATTTGTTTTCTTTTGTATAATGTCCCTATGCTGTCATGACTCAGAACAGAGGAGCCAGTATTTGAGGCAAAACAGACAGTGGGATAATTCAAAAGCATTTACTAAAATTCGGATGATCGGAGTAACAGCAGCTAGGGCGTCTATCACAGGAAACTGTGACCATAATAATCTAACGGAGGATGCTTTCAACGCCCGAGTCACTAACCCGGTTTAACAGTTCAGCCTGTCCTGAGAACAAGGCAATATCCTGCCGGTAGGCTGCAAACAAGGTTGTCACCCATAGTGTCCCAGAAACTGCAGCCCCCGAGAACGGAAAACAAGCAGGAGTCCGAAGCCAGGTCAGGCAAATAGATCAGAACAGGAAGGCTTGGAGGTCCAGGAGTCCGAAGCCAGGTCAGGCAAATAGATCAGAACAGGAAGGCTTGGAGGTCCAGGAGTCCGAAGCCAGGTCAGGCAAATAGATCAGAACAGGAAGGCTTGGAGGTCCAGGAGTCCGAAGACAGTTCAGGCAAACCGTTCAGCCCGGAACAGGCAGG